CTTCCGATTTGGATTAGCTTGCGGATCCCATTTATCACCTCGGGGTCCCTCTCTCCCTCGGATCTCACGAATAGTCCCCGACAACAACGTCGGTCACGAGCGATCAAGGGATATCAGTCGAGCCTCGATCACCAGCGATCGCAAGTGATATTACGAGGCTTGATATAGATTTGCTGTGTATGTAGAAAATGAGCTCAGGAACGCATCCGCAGTCCGATCGTCGGTTCGTCCCGTACGTCGAGCTTCCCGCGTTCGCTCGGCTGCTGCAGCATCGGGTCAGGGTGAACAACGGAGGGAAAGGTGGTTCATCCTTAGTACTACGGGTCTCGGAACGCGTGCAATCGGCAGCACCGCGAGAACATCCCTGATCTTTCCCTTCCGCTACGGATAAGCGCGCGTCAAATAAACCTTTCTAAATCTCGATCGCGGGGCCTACTGTATCACTCTCTCCCATCAAGGGGGTTGTCAGATACGGCCTCGCCGGCGACCAACGCTGGACTGATTCTCATTTAGCTGCAGCGCCGCGCGGTACCGCCGCTTCAACCCGCTTTGGCGCTAGCTCTGTGGTAGCCTACCGCCACCGTTCACCACCTTCTCTCTCTCGGTCACTCGTGATATCTCCGTCCTTTCGTTCTCTCTCTCTCTCTCTCTCTCCCCCTCCCCTCCTCTCTCTCTCTCTCTGTCTGTCTGTCTTTCTCTTATCCTCTCTCGTTTCCATCTTCTTTGTCTAGTCCAGCATGTATACCTGCTAGTCGCCGTGCGCGTCTAGATCCCACCCCTCTCCATCATTCTACACCTCCCGTATCATCGTTCTATCTCGATCACCGACGCTGTCCGTCTCTTCACTTTCCCTCTCTCTCCATCCCTATTCTTCTTTCTTGCTTTCTCACCAGCTCGCTCTTGTTCTCGTCATATATATCCTCTCCCCTCTACGACTATCCGGTAACTCTCTTTCTCTTCATCTCATCGGCGCTTCATCCCACGCTCTCCCTCGCGTTCAACCCTCGGCGGCCCACATCCGCGCATCGTGGGGTAGCGTGGTACACCATGCGGTACGACCTGCCTGCCCTCTTCCCTCTCTCTTTCTCTAGCCCTCTCCTCCGAGCGCTCCCGCTCAGCTCCTCGCTTTCTGGTATCCCTCTTCCTCCCGCAGCTATAGTGCATCCCAACATCGTCGGAGAAGAGAGAATCGTTACTATGGCGAGATCAATATGATAGGACGGCGCATGCCTCGGTATCCTTATACTTGAACCCTTCGCCGCCACTCTCGCTCTGTCGCGCCTCTCTCGCAGTTCCGCTCGTTCCGTCGTCGTCGCACCTCATCCTTCAGCCTCGTCATTTCGCACTCCATCTCGGTAACCTCTGTCTCCGTTGCTCATACGGTCCACATCCCCCGATGACGTCCTCCCTATCTCTGATCCCCTCGCGCGGTACATCCCTCTTCGTCTTGGCGCGCGCTGGAGGCCGCGTGTCAGACCGTGGGCGGCGTTGACTTAACTCAGTTCAGTCAACAGAGGGCCGTATGCGGGAGGATACTGTTCTGTCTTTTCGGTCCGGAGCGACCTACGGAATGTTCTTCTTTTCCTCATCAAATGAAGCCAGAAGCAACGTCAAAATAAAACAGCTATTGTTAATTAGGACAGATTTATTCAGAGAGAATCGTAACCACCAATATTTTCATATTGATGCAAAGATGACAAGTATGCCTGATTGTGTACCCAAAACGGATTTAAACAAGCGGGCGCCAACTAGATATTTTTTTAAACGGAAAAGAAATCGGCCGTTTATCGTGTATTTGGCACTCAGGAAGACGACATGCTTCTGTGCTACAGTCCGAAATACGTGATGATATATGATCGTTGAATCGGCCGCGCGATGCGGTATGTCTGTGTATAACGGAGCGCATCAAAGTGATATCGAAAAGAAAAAAATTAATATTAATAATAATTTAATAATGAACCCTAGAACATTGCACATACTTTGTAACAAATTCTGAAAACACACTATGGATCTGGAAGACCCACTGTAATTTTGATAAGCTATAACTTCGGGATTCAGATCAATATTTATACTCTCCTTTTCTATTTTGATATTTTGAGATTTAAAAATATATCTGCATAGGTTATAATTTGTAACGTCAAAATGTTTTGTATGTGTTATTAAGTTATGAAATAAAACTCTCTTTTTTCTTTTCTTCGTGTACGGAGTAAACGAAATTTCGATTGAGTCTGGGAGATCCATGATGTTTTAGAATAAAGTTTATTACGAATTTGAATGACTTATAACGTAGAGATATGAGATATACATACAGAAAGAATATAGTTGCAAAATAAACTTAATTTTTTTTAATAACCATCTCCATACATATTTCGGAAATAGAAGAAGATAGAGGAATACACTTACAGTCGTTGAAAGCGCTGACCGCGTAGCCTGAATGAAGCATTATGAAACATTCCAATATTTGTTTGCTAGCCATTTTTATGAAGCAAACAAAATATCTGAGAGGGAGACTCTCTTTTTCTTTTAGTTAGAAAAAGGGGTCGTCTGGACGTAAGTTAACGCTCCAATAGCTCGATTCTCCTTTGTGCAATCTTTTCTTCGTCTCGACATTACGCTCCGCTCTTCACTCGCATGCTCGTGTGTCGAACGATAATGACGATCGTATAACAACGGCATTCTAATCTAACGCTCAGTATCAATATATGATCGGATTTCTGAATTAAACTACAATTGACACAGTCTTGTACTTCTTTTTAAGTACACAAACTCTCCCATAACACTTATTATTATTTTAAATATATCTAATGATAAATACATAGTCAATTTTTTGTTAGAAAACATTTTTACGAAAATCATTACCATTATAGTCTCTAAAAAGATATTTATCATCAAATTTCCTTAAATTAATTCTTTGCCATCCAAACTGTTTCTTACAAACAAGCGAAGCTTAAGTATTTTATCCTTAATCTTATCTACATGTATTGTTAAAAAATTTGTGCCGAATATAACACATTCACATATTCCAAACGGTTCACTCAAATTTCTGTGTTCATTTAATTAACATAAGACATAAATGTTAGAAAACAACACAGATGTTGTGTAAAAAAAATTACCACAAAACTGTGGAAGTATATTTTTTAGTATAATTAACATTTATGATATATTAAATTAACACGTATTTCATTCATTCGCTTTAGAATTCACGTTTTAAAACACATTATTTTTATGTTACTTATTCACTTACTCATAAATTGTGTCATTTTAATACTAAAAAACGTTGAATACAAATTTCACACAAAATCTTTAAATAACATAAACACATTGTGTTGAATTAACATTCGAATATTTTAAAAAATTCAATACAAACGGTTAACAACGTGAGTAGATCGTTTCCAACACAAATACACAATGTTTCTTACCGTATAATCGGCTGGTCCAATATGAATAAAAAAATTCTTATTACTTGAAAGAATTTTTGTGGAGATTTTAAAAATGTAGTTTGCCAATTATAATTGCGGACAAATTTAAATGCTTGAAAAATTATGCTAACGCATTATATCAAGTTCGACTACATCACTACAATATAGAATCACAAAGGATTAAAATTAAAATTATGAAAAAATGAAATTTAACATGAAATTAGGTGAACAATAGAGAACAATCTTTCTCTACTTAATTATAATCGCAGAAATAATTAGTCTACGGAAATATAAAATAAATCTTACGCGATTATATGCAATTCAAAGTAAGTTGGTTCGACATTTTATAAATGTATAAGAGCAGAATGGTGTGTGATCTGCTTAGAGTTTTACATCCGAATATTTTTAATATGCGTTTTTTTTCGTAACTTATTGTATATTGAATCTATGTAAAATTGTATCTGAAGAGGGCTCAATCGTGTAGCCAAAACTTGTTATGTAGAATTTTCTGTTATTTATTTGATACTTAACTTATTTAATTAAATGTGATATTTATATTCTGACGTAATCTAACTTAATTTTTATGCTTTCACCAATTTTTCAAACTATATTTTTAACGTACTGACTCTTAATTTGCCCTTTTGTTATTGTTTTGTAAAACTTTCTATATTAAATAATATGCGCTATTGGGTTGAGTTTTCATCTGACAAGATTCTGAAATATTCTGAGAAAGAAATTTCATGTTGGAATCCGATTCTATATAGCATGCTTCGACGCTGATAACCCGTAGATGCATTGGGCTCACTATATTTACGTTTGCATCACTGACATCCGGAGTTCTGCCTTTGCGATTTCTACGCTACCGCTAGTAATAGTCGCGAGTTTATACACTCCGCTGGCGTCAAAGTTCCAATGTTTCTCGGGTAGTTTCCACCACGATACTCCAACATTCTTCGACATTTACTCGTACTTCCGCTTCTGATTGTCTGTTCCGTTTTCGCCTCAGCGGTTCCTTACATTTTTCAATCTAACTTATTTGACGCAATCCAATCGCGAGGAATAACCAATGCGAGCCTGAGTTTGCGATCAACTACAAAAAAGCAATACGTAACTTTTCCGCTTTTCACAATACATAGATTTT